TTTAAACCTGTAACGCCCTGCTACATTTTTATTATTTGTGTTTGATAAGACAAAAACTAAGATTTCAATAGTTGGTCCAACTGAAGTGGGAAGGGGGTCGTATATCGGGTGTCAGCAGCAGGTGGCTCAGCCCTATAATCTTACTATTTTCAAAATACAAAAATGAAATTTAGTATGTCGGTATATCACATAAATATGCACTGTTTGGCGTATCCAATTGTCAACTCTCACTTCTGGTTTATCTGGAAATGACTTTAACTTTGTTGTTTCAAATGGGACACCCGGTATATTTTTGCTTGTTTGAATAGAAAATAAAATTCCAAGTACAATGACGCTGCATTTGGTACCTTTTGACATCTAACCTCCAAATATTTGCAATTTTCAATTTTTAATCCTGTGTGCCATGAATACGACAAAATGTTAAATTTTTTCATCAGTTTATCTATGGCGTTACTTCATTTTCTGTCAAACGCAAAAAGGTGGCTCATTAGCACAGCTGCAAAAGATTGTTTTTCGTAAACAGTTATTTTCACTAAAATAATTTTATTATTAACGTAATAAATATATTTTTCCAAAACTTTCAATCTTCAGCAAAATATCTCCCTGATAACTAACTAAACTGTATAATCAAGAATTAATGAATTATGGTTTAATTATTCTACCCAATAAATACTTTTTAATTTATTTAATGTTCAAAATGAGTACCTTGTTGTCCTTGGAAAAGTTCAATTCGCTCAATTGCCTTACGTATTACGTTTTGAAAATGATTTGGTGTAATTCGATTAAGTGTCGCTCTTACTTAAGTTTTCCACCTTCTTTCGTGTTGCTGACGGTGTATTATAAGTCTCGTTTTTGATTGTTCCACATAAATAAAAATCTACCGGTGTTAGATCGGATGACCTAAATATTTAATTAAACAAATTGATTTCGATCAAGATTTTGAGTAATCAGTTCTACGTACCTTGGATGCCATCTAACTGGTCCATTATTTCCAATCCAGTTTCCCCATTGGTAGTAGATATTATTCAAATAGGCTGATATCACCCGCTTGTTGTGGGATAGAGCGCCATGTTGTTGATAAAATATGCTCTTTCTAGTTATCAAAGGCATTTCATCCAAGAATTTTTCAATTTTGCGAGAAAGAAATTTTCGAATGTCAAATGTCCTCCAAAAATTATGGAGCCTAGAATCCTGATCCTAGAGTTCCCATCCAACAAATAAAACCAGAACATTCTTGGATATTTCCGTCTTCCATTAAGCGCAAATTTTCTTTAGACTAATATTATTTCTGTTGAAGATGCCTAAATTTGTAAAGCGACTTGCGCCTGTATAAAGAATTTTATAAGGAAAAGCATTGTCCTCTTGGTATTTCTGTAAAAACCACCAGTATTCCAACCTTCGTTCATAATCAGCTTCGTAAAGTTGCTGGTGCAATTGTTACTTGTACGACCGGTATTTATGCTTACGTAAAATTCACCACACGGAACTTTTTGATATTTGACACACAGCAGTAATTTCTCGGGTTTTTTATATGAATCTCTACATACCTACGCCAAAACAAACAACAACAAAACATTGATTTCTTTGCCCTGGTTCGCAATAACATTATCATTTTCTGCCACTTCATTAGGCTCATTTCGAATTTTTGAAACCAATTTTTGGGAAGTAATGCCGCGTTAGATGGCGGCGCTCGGGGAATCTTTCTGCATGAATTTTAGCAGCTTGTACCATTAAACCTGAATTCTCCAAAAATGAGGATCATATACATTTGTTCGCTTTTTGTTTAATTCTGCATGGTTAATTACTAAACTAGGAAAAACATTCAGAAGGTAACGTAATTAAGTATTAATTTCGTATTAATTCATATTCATATCATTTTTTCCCTAAGCGGCCTTATTTTTCTGTCAACGCTGCCGATGCCGGTTACGGCTGGTTGATGCTGTTATGGCCAGAATGAATAATAAGGTAATTAATGTAGATTTTTCTGAAATACGTTCAACTAAAATATAATTTATGTGGTATCAAATTGTGGGTAAAAAATACTCTTTTAGTCTGTGCTAGTTAGCCACCCTCGGTCCATTTGAGAAAAATTGAATGACGACCATAAATACGATTTTGCAAACTTTAAACGAGTCTAAAGAGGCTATAAACAACACAAGACTATTAAATCTATTTTTCTGTGACGGCTTAATTTATTATTAATTAAATTTACCATTGTATCATATTGATAACAAACTGGATTGAAAATTAAAAATTACAAATATTTGTAGGTTAGGTGTCAAAAGGTCATTGTACTCAGAATGTCATTTTCTATTCAAATAAGCCAAAAAGCACCGGGTCTTCCATTGAAACTAACAAAGCTAAAATCATTTCCGGATGAATTGGTGATAAAAGTGAACAATTGAATATGTCACACAGTGCTTATTTATGTGATACATCTACAAGCCCCTTCCCACTTCAGTTGGCCCACTTCAAGATTTGTACCAAAATATGCCTTTATAAACCATGACGAAACTATTTACTTCTAAAACAACTTATTTTCTCAAAAACATTTTAGATACACTCTAGTCATAAAAAATACATATTTGAAATCACTTATACCTATAACTAATACAACATCTGAACAAATAAACAATGTGCGAATAAATGCGCGAAGTTAACAAAGCTACAATTGAAAGATTACCATAGGGTAACATCACTTTTATTTATTATTACCGCTGAAATTCTTTGGCGCATAGTGATAACCAAGTTTTGGCAAAAATTTGGGGTAAAACAATCCCATATTTCTTGAAGCTTTTGTCTCAGTTCGGTGATTGTACGAGCGGGATGTTGTCGTAGAACGTTTTTCATCTCGTGCCCCAAAGTTTCAATAGGTGACAGATCTGGACTGCTAGAAACCCATTTCAAAAGTGGTACATTATTTTCTTACATCCATTTTATAGCCTTTTTTGAGGTATGGCACGCTGCACCATCTTGCTGAAACACAAAATCTTGGCCAGATGTCAAACATTTTTCCATCACTGGTAAAAGCGATACTCCTAAAATTGCCAAATATTTGTTTGTATCCACATTTTCATCAATAAAATGAAGTTTTCCTACTCCTTTTGATGACATAATGACCATAATGGATGCTGGAAATTACACTTTTCTCTTCAGACAGTCAACATGGATTGCCTCATTTTTTTGCCAATAACTCTATTGCGACTGTCAGCAACACAAACTTCGAATCGGGCCTCATCACTCCATTGTATTGCACACCATTGTTAGGGTGTCCATTGTCTATGTTCTTTAGCCCATCAAGCCGATTTTTCTTTTGCAGTGGAGTCAATAGTGGCTTTTCTTTGGCCTATAAACAAGTTGTGCAGCTTCAGGGTTTTTACTTCACTTTTTTTATAAGAAAACTTACATTGCCAGTGTTAAATCCCAGTTTGTGGGCCTCTCTATGAGTTGTAGACCTCGAAATTCTCCCTCCAACAGCGTCACTCCACAGAGCACTTAATTGTAAATAATTGGCACGCCTGTTTTTCACGATTATTCTTCTTAATGCTCTTCGGTCGGCATTTGTGATATTATTTTTTCACATATCGTGGCTTAATATTAACTGAACCAGTTACGTTATATCTTCTAACAATATTTCTCACACTGTACCGCGATAAATATAACAAAGTTGCAATTTCTGAGTTTGATTTCTCAGAATTAAAAAATTTAATTATCAGTAACCGAATTTTCTCACTAATAACCCTTCCTCTACCCATTTTGAAAACCTTAACTACCCAAAACTATTTTAAACGTATTCTGACAGCTGTGATTAATAAAAACAATTGTCATGGCTTTTATTTTTCACAGCCACCTATGCGTTATAGACTTATTTTGCATTGAAATGAAAATAGGTTGATATGCTGTAATTGTAACAATTTTTTATTTTTATTCTGAAAATTTGATTAGGGAGTGATAAAAATGGTGTTTTCTACTATATATTATCAAAATATTCATTGTTTATATTTTAAACCTATAACACCCTGCTACATTTTTATTATTTGTGTTTGATAAGAAAAAACTAAGATTTCAATTGTTGCGCCAACTGAAGTGGGAAGGGGCTCGTATATACTTGATCCCATTTCTTTATTAAATACAAAAGTAGAGGGGTGAACCATTTGCTAGGGACACCCGGTATTTTCAATTAATACAATTCTTATATTATTGCCAAAAAAAAAACACAATATTTGTTCACAATTAATGTATTTTGTGCTTCGTAATTAGTATTAGATTTTATTATTTCGAAACTTGTTCTCAGAAAAATTGATGTTACCATTATTGGGGATAATTCATGAATATAAGTTCCATGATATAATTCTTCAGTATGAGATATATCATTTCCAGCAGATTTCAAAATATGAAGAAACGGAATCCTGCCATTCCTTATTCCGGGAGCATTCTCGGCATTCCTTCGATAGTCCCTCCAGATCTCCAGGCAAGTAGGCGGCGCCACCATCTGACAAACTTCAACGGTGCTGCCATCATTCAGCGTGCAGCTCCCACTACTTCATTTGTTATGTGCACATTTTGTAAAATTCGCCGCTTCGAATTCAAAGTGGCGACACTCAAACGTGTCTACAAAATTGCAGCGCAACTGGTCAGAGTTTACTGATTCAACATTCAGTTTCAAGATTGGCCGACACATACTAAGATACTTGTAACAGTTGCCTTCTATTGCCGATGAATCATATTTTTTTGTTGTTGTTGTTGTTGTCGCACAGGTTTAATTGGAAGTAATGCATCAAGAACTTGAGAAGGAAGAAACAAAAGCCGATAATATAATCTAATAATCTCCGTAGCATATTATTTTTATTCATAGCATATTATTAAATCAATATTATTGACAAAAATGACTAGACCGGCCCATTGGCCATTTCCCAAGATAGGGCTTGTTTGTAACGGTGTATTTAGCTATATTTTTCTCATGTAATTCATAAGCAAAATAAATAACATGCAGTCATTTACCTATTATCATGTTTATTTGAATTAACAAACATAACACATGAATACCACGAAATAACTATAATTTTTAATTTGTATCTGTTGTTTTTCTTCTGTAGTCGTTTGGTTGCCTGTATATAGTAGTCAGTATCTTCCATGTCACTGAACAATTTGGGAACTGAAACCAAATATTTCTCAATCAATTAAACAAAATCCATCCTGATCTATTTTATAATCCAAAAATTTCAATTATTAAATTTAAGGTACAGCAATCGCACTCCATTTTGACCATCTTTACAGTTTCTATCACTAAGTTTATAAATGTGTAGTCAATTTTTCATGCATTCAGGTAATTAGTTGAAGAATTTACTCACCCTGATATGGACAATTTCATCTTGTGTTGCCTAGTAATTTCCCTGGTTCACCATGAGTAATAATTTTAGTATTCATCTCCATATATTTTCATAGATAACTCGGTTGCTTCCATCCCATACTAGATCTTCCACCGTCAAGAAATCAATTCAATCTCGAAATTTTCGCCAGATTTGTTTACATCTCAACAACAATCCGGTTTGTCACTCCGGAGCTAAAAATAAATAAATAAATGTACATCTACAAATTGATATCACCTTCTGAATTAAAAACTATTTGTGTTGCATAAATATTATTACTCACCTATTGAACTATGTATTACTTTTATAGGCAGATGAATTTATTATTGTTTTCTGAAATCTTCCAATGTCAAAGGCTGATGTCGCTGATGTCGAGGTACTATTCTGCGTACCGAACTACTTGCACACCTCGCTTGTTCCGCATAGTTGCCAATTTTATTTCAGAATTTCCTTATGTTTATTAATCAATCAAATTTATATGCAGATATGACAGTGTTGCCACATTTATTCACGATATTTCCTTGAATTTATATTAGGAACCTTCTCATTTTGGGATTAGCCGACAACGTTTGGCTCTTAATGGTCAACTATATTTGGAAATGTCAAGTCAAAAAAATTAAATTTTGGGAGGGGACTTCCTTCCACTATCGGAGGGCCATCTTGTTCTGTTCCGCTAGTGCCTGAAGACCTGAAATTTTCCTCCTTTTTTGCCTGGGGCATCTTCGTTGCATTGTGGAAGAAAATTTCATAGATAATTTCCTGGGTCATTCATGTTGTGAGTGCGTAGCATCTTTTTTTTTTGTCTACCCTTGGACCCGAGAAATTCTACAATTTGTAGGATCTTATTGTCTTCAGCCACACTTTTCGCCAGACGGAACCACGTGTAAAACCCTACCCGACATCATCTAGGTGAGCATTATTTTATTTTAAGTAAATGAAAATTTAGGCAAAAGACAATATTTCTCATATATATGAGTTTTCTCAAAAGTAAATAATTATTCTTGTTCTAAAATGGAGTTAACTTAGTATTCTGTGGAGCATGCGTTGGTTTCTATTATTTTCCGAGTAACTCAAAGTGTAATTTTAAATCTGTTATACCGGGTGGTCAAAAATCATATTTTGAATATTACTTTTCCAATTACGTTAATTGTTGTTAACTAAATTTGTATTTTTTATACTGTTACATTCGATCGCCTGAATACTATTATTCTTCCTAGGTTCTTTTATTTTGGGGGAATCTTCGCTACTGGAGATCCATTGACACGTTTTCTACCGGGGACCTCTTTCCGAACAGAGACCCTTTCTCCACCGTAGGGATTCTTACGTCATCGGTTTTGAAGCATTCCTCGCCCATTTTAAATTAGTTAGTCAATAAGCTTTCGCATTAAATGGAGATCTCCTAGTTTGGCTGGCTTAAATTTTTGTTGTTAGCCGTTAGTAGATGTAATAAAATGTATTGATGTTAATTTTAGCAATTATTTACCCACACAGAAAATCTATTGTTTGTATGTATTTTTGTTTTTGTTTCTTGGGGTTTTGGGCTAAAGAGTGCCTTTCAACACCAATGCCTCTTCCAGTTTTGACAGATAAAAGCTGGTTACGCACCTAAAAAGTACCCCCCCTACTCTCCGGTGTACCTGAGCATAGGGCCTAATTTGCCAACGCTAAACCACGGCTTTAGCCTCAGTAACCCCCTAGTTTTTTTTTAATCATCCATTGCCTCAATTGAGAGAAAAAACTTTAGCAATAAAATTAAAAAGTGAATTTAATTAAAAAAAAGAAAGAAAGAGCGTGGCATACTTACAAACATTCTAACAGATGTGACAAGTAAACTAAACGCCTGTAAAAATAACCAAATGCAGTAAATGCAGAGTCGGTGCTCGGTGCATCTCTTGGTCGAGCAGGCAAGGGAATAAAGTAAAAGGAAGTGGTGGTATTATTTTATTGGAAATCCGTGCTCGAGCGCAATCTTGTCAGTATCCAATCAATTACCCGTAAGTCCTTCTGGTCGCGAAGTAACGAAAGAGTACATTCCGGTCGATCTATTACTTAAAAGTTCTCGGTTGCCGCTGCCGCGCCGGTTAACTTTTAAAATCCTGTGACGGCCACATTTCCAACTTCTTATACTGAAAAATGACCCTTTGTCGTGCGAGTTGTTATAAGATAGTCTAGTCGTCGAGGGCTTTAACATTAGAAAGACATGTCCGATTGCACCACCCTTCTCAAGTCTACTGCTTAGCAAGGGTGATACCTATATTGAATTCGACCTCAAAGTAGGCACAACTAACAAATAACGCTCCTATAAAATGATTATACAGTATTCCTTACACCGCATTGTATGTTGCAAGAGCATTGGCAGAACGATTTTAGGACAGCTATATAAGCGGAATCGGCACACCTAATAGGACGGCCCATCAGCCTGGATTCCTCGATGGGCAAAGTAGTCGAAAAGGCTATCTCTAGAGAAGCAGGCAGAAGAACTGGAACTTCTCCACCCAGAGGAATTCGGCTTCAGATCCTCCCACAACACGGAACTCCAAGCGCTACAACTGACAGAAAACATCACCAGTAGCTTCAATCTCCAGGAAGCAACCGGCCTCGTCCTGCTGGACATGGAACGAGCCTTCGATCGAGTTTGGCACGATGGACTCATCGCCAAAATGGAAGCCGCCGGAATCGATGTAAATATGTGCCAACTGATCCAGAGCTATCTAACACAAAGATGGTTCACGGTGAAGATTGGTACATGCCACTCAACAAGACGACAGCTGAAAGCAGGCGTGCCTCAGGGGTCAGCCTTAGCCCCCTGCTCTACAACATCTACACTCACGACGTACCGAAGACAGCTGACACAATGATGGCCCTATATGCAGACGACACTGCTATAGCCGCCAAGCATTGACGACCCGAGATCATCCGTAGGAGACTACAGGATGAACTGGACCACATCCAGGACTGGTGCGTGAAATGGAAAGTCCGCATCAACGTCCAGAAGACGCAGGCAACCTTCATCCAATGAAGAAGGATTGCAAGACCTCTCGAAGCATCCATCTTCGACGAAGATATCCAGTGGAGCGACAAAGTCAAATATCTGGGGATCGTATTTGATAAGTCCCTCACCTTGAAAGACCACATAGAAGCTGTCATCGCAAAGACCAGAGCAGCCATGGCCCAGCTCTACCCATTACTGGGTAGACACAGCCGGATGCTGCTAGCGACCAAGCTACGGCTGATCAAGGCCTCAGCTCGCTTACGCCTCCGCGGTCTGGAGGTACGCTGCTGCCAGCTACCGCAAGCGACTTGCTGCTCTAGAGATGAAGCTACTCCGGATCGCCACCGGTGCACCATCCTACGTAAGAAACTCAACCTTGCGTAGAGACCTGCATTGGGACACCATTCACGAGTACATCAGGAAAAAAGCGGAGAAGACCTTCCAGAAAGCTCAAGACCACCCGAACGAGCAGCTACGACTCCTCATGGACTACAATCCGGACGAGAGGCCTCGCAACCGCAGAGCCAAGTACCCTAGACCAAGGTCCCAGTTGGCACCCGCTAACTGGAACCTTGACTAGGAGACTAGTAAAACCCGCGGTTGCTCCCCCCCCCCTCACGGCGTGGAAGCAGAGGACGAGGACCAGGACGACCAGATACCATCAGGACCAGGAACCACCAGGACCAGGACCAGGATCAAGACACGCCGTAGCTCGGGCTATGGTATGGTGCATAAACGCATTCCCCCCTCACCAAAAAAAAAGAAAAAAAATAATAGGATGCTTCAGTCCTTTAAGATGTTTTTATACAACAGAAGTGTACACTCGTGCAGCCGCTAAAAAACCTTTGAGTCAGTGCAAGATTCAATTTCTGTCAACTATACAACCATTCTGTTACACGATTCTACTTAATTGCAACCAGACTACTCTTATGTATTGTACAGTAAAAGTGAAGAATACTCAGGGTGATTCACAAATCGTGACCAAAAATGAAACAGCATACACAAGATCGCAATTTTTAAAAATATACGTTTAAAAATAAAAAGCATTTTTCTTAATATCTACAAAAGCGTCAACTGGAATGGAGTAGTAGTATTGCCCACATGCAAAAGTCTTTACCTAAAATTAACGTGCATCAGTGACCGAGATACAGGGGATTAGTGGCATTACTTACTTACTTACCTTCAATTTGCTACAAATAAACACTTTTGTGTTTTTCTCTAGTGTGCACTGTTGTCGTAAAAATAAAAATAAAACAAATTAGTTAATTCATAAAAAGCCGAGATACAATTAGTTTCAAAATAAAATAGGAGGCCTTTATACCAATTTAACGTTTCTTGGGAGATAGTTTGTTAAAGAAATGTATTATTCAGTTTTTATCATCGCTACTACCATTTTTTTTTAAAAGTCAAGTCAGAAGTTTCTTTTTTCCATTTTTGAGAGTTGTCAACATTCCGGAGTTAGAGGCCATAGTGTCCGGCATACTGTTCTAGGGAAACTGGGAGTGATTAATCTGGCGTTGGATGTAGAAGTACTAGGCAGATGACAGCCAATTACCATGTTCCCAAAGGCTTGCGTGGAGAGTTTTAAATCGGAAAGTCTTTCATCCTTACCATCGCCAAAATGTGCAATGTCTGTAACCCGGCGATGAAGTGCAACCGCGAAATTTTCGTGAGTGGTTACTGCAAATGCATGATCAAAATGCAGTTTTTATTGATTTGGTTTTTCTGGTCAGATAAATCGCTTTTTACGAGATGTGAAACCTTTCATTCTTATAATCAACATATTTGGTCGTTAGAACATCCCCGGTCCGTAAGAATACACTCGTTTCAACACACATTTTCTAGATACGTCTGGTGCGCCATTTTCAATGGCCAACTGTCTATGCACGTATTGTCACAACGTTTAGATGCAAACTCATACATAGCTTTTCTAGAGAATTACATAGAAAACGCGGTAGATGATGTTCCGTTAGCAACGAGAGTACGAATGTTGTATCAGCACGACGGTGCCCCACCGCATGTTCGTCGTGACATAACTACATGGTTAAATAATCATTCCAGACAACGATGGATTGGCAGAAACGGACCCGTACATTGGCCTGCGAGGTCTCCTGATTATAACCCCTGGATATCTTTTTGTCAGGCGCCTTTAAACAACTAGATTATGCTGAATAAGTTGTTACTGTTGATCAGTTACAAGAAATAACAGATAACGCGTTTCATCAAATTCAAGTAACATCAAATTTTGCGGAAATACGTTTTCTTTATTAAAAAGATGCCGCACTTGTATCCGTCAGAATAGTGGTCTTTTGGAACATTTATTGAAATAGAGCTTTGATTATCCAATTCGTTTTTTCTTAATTTTTAGGAAAACACATAAGTAATTATTTGTAACAAATTGAAGGAACGAAAGGAAACTGGGCAAAGCACTTTTACGGTAAAGCATGCTTTTTTCGTGTTGGTCTTTAGGAATGAATCACAGGTCTGGTCTGTAATCTCGTCCCATCTGATAGAATGCAAACCATTATTTTTTCTCCGTCATGCACTAAGAAGACGTTATCTTCTCTACGCACTCTAACACTGTGCCGCTTGCCGTAGTTTGCGTAGGATTTGCCAACTGCCCGATAGAACCCAGGAAGCTTCCCTTCGGTCTTCTGATCCTTCTGTGATGAGACATAAGGTTCCTGTACTTCCAGTTTATCGTGTCTGTTGGGTTTCTGAAGGTCCGCGACTGCCGAATCATGCTGTGTAGCCGAAATATCCATTTCGTCGTAATAAAGTCAGGATGCAAAATTTTTGTTTGATGCTACTGCAAACGTGGAGTGTAAGACTCTTCGCGCTCGCATCGTAAGCGTAGTCGTTTCGTAAGCGTATCGTTACGACGCTTTCTAGCAAAGTAGTACTATAAGCTTCTCGTTAAAGAACCATTCAGCCATTAAAGCTCTCTATTGTTGTTGCCTGGACGCCAAAACGCTGGCTTAATGTTGTGTGGAATGCAAATTTGGTTTCTGCAACATATTTGCTCTAAAATGAGGTGTTTAAAATATTCTCTAGCATAGTTATACAACACCTTATAGGACAAATTTTTAACTGTTGCATAAACGTTTATACAACTATTCTATACGGCATATTTGCACGTTAGTCAAAATGGTTGTGTTGTGGCATCCATGGTAACGTTTATAAAACAAACGCGAGCCTTGTTGTTTTGCTGTGCATATTACTACTTTAGCCAACAAGTTGCTCCCAGCGGAAGCACTTATACAACTGTGGTTTAGTAACTGTTAAAGGCTGTAGATATGCTAAATATGTTGGTATACAACTTCACCATAACCTAACCTTCTGCTGTCATATTTTTGTTAAAATGCCATAACCAATGATTTAACACAAACAACGCATGCATATTGGTTCAAAAGGTTTTATCAACTGTTCAAACAGAAGATATAGATCTGGTACAAATTCAGGGTAAATCATTGGACTCTGTCGGTATTTCGTTTCAGACATTGGCCAAATTGTTGTATAACACCTGCAGGCCACACCAAAACATTCTAATAAACTGAAGAGAACATGGACGATGCCATGATTATACACGACCACGAGCCATATTGGGCAAACATTTATTCCTCTATTTAATATTAAATAATTTTGTTTCAGTTCGAAATTACAGATATAAAGTGATAAAAATTAGTGTAATTGTGTCTAAATATAGGATTTGTGGAGGATTTGTCGCAGATAAGTTCAGTTTTCCATCTTAAAAATCTAGACATACTTTTGATCATTATCAAAATATGCCTAAAATAAGAAGCCCATAGAAATTGCGTAACTACTTTGCACGATAATCACAATAAAATTTGCTGCGCAAGTAATTCAATAGCCCTATATCACAGTGTAGAAGTTTATCATATACCTGTGTATGAAATTCACAATGGCCGATATGTAGGTAAACAAGATGACTGTAATGTGTTAGTTATATATTCTTCACTTCGTCTATGCAATATCTAAGAAATAGTTTGGTTGCAATAAAGCAGAATCACGTAACAGAATAGTTGTATAGTTGACAAAAACTGAATCTTGCACTGACGCAAATGTCCTATAGCGGCTGCAAGGGGCTTACACTTTTGTTGTATAAATGTTACCTGCAGCCCTTATACAACCCCTTAAATGACTGAAGTGTCCTATTAGGTGTGCCCATTCCGCTTGTATAGCTTATCTAAGAGGGTTTTTCCAATGTTCTTACAGTACATAATGCTGTGTAATACGAGTGATAATTGTTAGTTGGGAAGTACCTGTTCCAATGACCTTGTATGTCTAAGGCATAGGGGTATTTATTATTTCCCCAATATCTTACATCAGTGCAATGCAGAGAAACTATCTTTAGTTACATATAAGCACGATAAAGTAATCTTCTGACATCCTATCGATGCATAGGAAGCCCTGCTCGTGTAACGTATAAGGTTTCCGATTTTTACTTGTATCCACATAACAAGTAACGGTAATTGTCGGCAAGCGATCAGTAAAATTTAACATTGTTCGCCCGATTTGTGAGCAGTCGGTGTTGCCAAATAACAGGCAAGGATATAGTTAGAGTTGTGGCACTTTTTGAACTTTGTGCAAAAGTACCATTATAAGGATGACAATCAAAATCCGAGTTCTAAAGGAGAAAATGTCGGATGGACGACAAAAAACAAATAGGGAGATATACAGAAGGAAATGGTAACCGGGAGTTTCGCTCTATTGGTAAAATGGAGTATTTGTATACAAACACACATCTACCGCGACTAAAAAAAGAGTTAATTCTATTTTTGGTCTGCTTAAGGATAGTCGTGAGAAGAGTCAGCAGTGACGTACCGAGAAGATCTGGATCACGGAAGAAGCTCCCAACAAAGAAAACTCCGTGGCATCTCGGTACAGAGGAGCGAGAACACCAACCTCCCTTTGATGCGAGACAATTTCAGGAAGTTTCATCAGCCAGGTGGATCTTCTTTTAAGCCCCATGAAGTATGGACTATCAATAGCATCACCATCACCTTGGGCATGTGTTAAATTTTCCAAGTAGAATCAAAAGTACTTGTTCTCAGCTCCCTACCAGCTGCTTCTGAAATGGCAACGATGTCTAATTTTGCTTCCCCCGATGGCCATATCGTCAGTCGTTCCTAAAATTGTATGACGCCTTTATGGCCTCCTCGATTATCATAGTCTTTTCTCCTTCAGAATGGCTGGGTATTTCCAGATTTCGCCTGTTCGGTGCCAGCGTCAGCGCTCTCCTATTGTATAGTTATGTTTTATTTATGAACTGTATGTAATTTTAGGCTGATAAAATAGAGGATATAGATCAAAAGCATGAACCATTTGATGCAAATAGATATTTGTGACATAACCTCCGAATAGAGCGCTGGCACGGAACAGTAGAAAACTATGAAATGGCTGGCGACAAGATCCTAAGTAGTACTTCTGTGGAGGTCGAACTGTCAAAAGTAGATGGTATCTTGAAAAGTGACATTATGCCGGTTCTTTCTTGACATTATATTGGTTTTTTGTGACATGAATAGACCTGTCGTTGAACATTTTCTCACCTGTTCCTTCACCAATCAGGGATTTTATTTTATCTCTCTCATTTTTGAAATTCAGTGGATGCGCAACTAGTTTCTAGCATTCTAGCTTCTCAAGTGAGTGAACTTGATACAAGAAACCAATGGAATTATCATCAACACATATTATTAGCACACAAATCCTCCCTATGCACCTATACGCTGCCGTCTCCTTTTAGCTATAGTAAACAACTTACAGTTTAGATCTTCAATAATGCCATCTCTGGAGCAGAGCCAACCATTGATAACTGAAGCATCATGACGTTTAGGCAACACGTACAACTATAGAGTTTTCCATTAAGGACTTGACTACTTTCTTTTTAAATAAAACTCAAATCAGTTTTGATATCTCTAAAATGTTATCATTGGATTGAAGTATACTCAAAACATTTATATATGCAATTCGACCTCATGCATATGTCAACAGGCACATTCGCAGCTCTCGATTCCTTGAACCCAATTTTCAATGACTCGGCAACACATTTCGACAGAAACGGCCGCTATCTCTCGTTCAATATTCGCTCTAAGCACCTCTAACGACGCCGGCTTATTGGCATAGACCAATGATTTAATGTAGCGCCACAAAAAAAGTCTAGAAGTGTTAAATCATACGATCTAGGCTGCCATTCGACAGTACCATTTCTCGATATAATACGTTCACGGAATGTTGATTTCAATATGTCGATTGCTTCACCCGCTGTGTGGCTTGTGGCACCGTCTTGTTGAAACCACATATCATTAATGTATAGCCAATAAAATTGAACAAAAAAATATCGTTGCAACATGTCTCTGTAGCAATCTCCATTGACTGTAACGTGACGGTCATTTTTATTGACGAAAAAAAAAACGGTCGAGTGACACCACCCGCATGAAAACCACACCATACAGCTTTTTTTTGTGGATGAAGTGGTGTTTCTTGAAGCACAAAACGTATATTCTGTTCGTTTAGCCAAAAATGCGCCTAATCACTGAAGATGATTTTGCGATGCAATTGGCCATTTTCTTGCAGCATTTCTGGACCCCAATTCGAGAACATTAGTCGGTTCATATGATCAAACGGCTTTAGGTCTTGAGTGAACCTGATCTTATAAGGGTGCAGACCAAGATTTCTTCGCAAAATTCGCCATACTGTGGTCTGAGCGTTACCCATTTCTTTTGAACCCCGTGGAATCGACGTGTTCTGTTCGTTTGCGACGGACGCTTAAACGGCAGCAATGCTCCCGACACTTCGACCAAACCGTTGTCTCACTGGCACGGAAGCAAATAGCAGCGAATATGAGGACTTACATTTTTTTCCTAGACTATGAATTGCTTGTCTACTGGGACGAGAATTACGATCAAAAATTGGCGTTAACTCTCTTAAGGCCCGCTTTTTCAATCGCAAGTTAAGTTTTTGGTTAGTTAACTATCGCCAGGAAGTTAACTTGTAGTTACCTGCAAATACATTTTTCAAGTATTTTGAAAGCCTCAGTTAACTTACCAGAATTTCAACATATACTTTTGTGCGCTCGGGATCTGTATCCCGTGTCATACGTCATACATGACAGTTCCATTGAATTAAATTTCTTAAAACAGATAAAATCGAAATCCGGAAATTTCATTAAAAACGAATAAAACATAAAACCTTCGTCAAGCAAGGTAAGTTTTTTCATGCATTGCTCGTACAAATATTTAGTAGTAGACATTATAGACGGCATTATATAAATGGTGATAAAAAAGGTTGAAAATGCAATGTCTAATGAACCATGCTAAGGTCAAAAAACGATTAAGTTGTAAATATCTGCTGAATATTGTATTTTCCACTATTTTAACATCACTCCTATAATCTACAATCCAAAAATAAAGGGGATACACAATACCTCTATTCTTGTTGCAAAAATTTCTCAAAAAGAGAGCTCAAAATTTCTCGAAGAATGAGGAAATGGTGATAATATCATTGATGAGTAAAAATAAAGATGTAATAGAGCATTCGATCTGATTGATAAACAACTACAAGAAATAATGGGACCACAATTAGAAGGTTTGACAAACAATTATGATGATGACTGTAGTGACCAAGAAGCGGTTACTGAACATGGTAAGTCTCATTGCTGTTTATTGAAGCATTTTTTTAATTATTCATTTTTTAGTTCCTGATGCAAATAACTGTGATGACAGTGAAGTGGTCTTCAATAATGGGAAATGGAGCTCCTATACTCCCCAACAACTGAAGAGGCCCAAAACTACAAAGCTATCATGTACGAAAACGGTACAAAATAAAAAATATATTTCTGTTAACTATCTACTAATGGAGGAAAAGCTGAATTTTTTGAAACTACAAAAAGAAAAATTCATCGAAGAACACAATAAAAAAATGGAAATATATTAAAAAAAAGGTTCAGCTGTTAGATTTACAGATCAATGCATTGGATAAGTAGAAAACAAAGGATTTATTTTGTTAATTTCTGGAATATTTTCACTTTCACTCATTTTTTCTGTATTTCGCATTTTTAAGGATAATATGTTAGTTTAATAATAAACTGTTTTCAGAACATCATGTTATTTTCATTCTGTAGTTACAATAAATAGGGGATAATTCGTATCTCAAGTAGATGAGAGCTATGGCGAAAACTTTAGGGGTCCAAAAAGATCGACTGACTGCCCATTTTGAGGCTTGGGACATCTATTTTCAAATGCCGTGTGCGCCTTTTTTGGGCAACAACAATTTTGGCCACGACTCTTATCCACTTGCCATGGATTATCACATATCTTATAGTAAACATCATCTAGTAGCGAGTCATTCAATGAGCATCAGTGAATGTATTGAATCGATTTACAAATTTGCAAAATAATTATTAATAAGCTAAGTTCTAACATTGTTGATTGCATTTTGTGGCAACCTAATATTTACAGGATCTGTCTTCACATTATCAACATGAACCATATTAATAGCATTTTTCTGGTCAGGACTAATAGGACGCATAGCTTCATTTTTTTTTATATATTACAACTACCACGAAGGCCTAAGGCCTAAGCACCCATTGGGTACCGTGGGGCTATGGGGGATACATGGGAAAGGGGGGACGTCACACGGACTATGGCGAGGGAACACGTGCGCATGCAACATGCACACATTCTGGCTCCGCCTACGAGAACCGCCGGGTGGTACCTCCACGTTCGACAGTCAGAAACCATCTACCATCTACGGACAATCACAACATCCATAGGCAAGAGAAAAGTTTCTCCTGGGACGGGACTCGAACCCGCACAGCGCATGGCGACTGATCAGGAGACCGAAGAGTCTACTACTGCGGCCACCGCTGCTGCTTAGGACAAGCAATATTAAGTAGCACTGCTGTTCCTAGAGTAACTGCTTGAGCTGTATCTAGATGAACTCTGAGACCCATAGCTAGACATGGAAATCTTCTTTTCCAAACTCCATAGCTTCTCTCTATAACATTGCGACTACGAATGATAGATTGATTGTATAATTCTTCAGCAGGAGTTGTAGTTGTATTTAATGGTGTCATCAAATGGCGTTTAATAGGATAACATTTGTCGCTAGCCTACAAAGAGTTTTCAGTGACCTGATTCAAATTGTCTGCAGAGCTGAGAATTTCCGAAAATGTATGAATCTGCGTCAGAAACAGTTCAGTGGAAAACACTGCTTTCGATTTCTGAAGAGCTCTGCATTACTTCCTCCGGGAGAAACAATTCTTATATGCGCTCAGTCAATTGCACCTATGCGTCGAGAAAAACTAGCTATGTCATTTATAAAAGGATTGCTTTGCCCTGGCAAGAGCCTCAAGAGTGTCCGGCATTTTTATGTAATTACTTCTTTTACTCGTTAGTACTTTTAAGAAACTTCGGACTGTTTTGGATGCAGTTGATTTGGAAACCCCAGCAAAATGTCCAGCAACAGTTAAAAAACTTCCATTGCGCAGTGCTAACAACAGCTGCTGTTGGGGCGTTAAGAGCAGTTATTCCTGGAATGACAAAGTCATGTAAAAATATGGAAATAAACAATAATATATACATCTACCTGCTTGTAGGATATAATAAATCTTCATAGACTTCTTCCAGGAGAGTTTCTACAGTCCTTTTTGTAAGACGAAATCTTGCAAGGAAATCGAGGTCATCAAATTCATAGAAGTAATTCGACCGATAGCGGATTATTTTTGGCCCTCTCGCGTCTTCGTCACTGCTATATACGCATTCACGTCGTAATCCGTGAACATGTTTACAGCTTAAATTTTTTGAATAAACGTCAAAGTTTATGTCAAAACATGTCACGTGTTTCTATTTAACTACAGCCTTTCTACAGTATATTCAGATAAGAGATAGACCGGATGTAAACAAAAGGTTCGGGTGATTTTCATGCTAACGCCGCCGTCTCGACGTAAAACAGTAGCCCTCATTGGTCAATTCGCAATTAAATGCCTATGCCGAGCGGCAGAGCAGTCGTATCAAGGCAGAGTCACATTCAGGTTCAGACGTGTTACGTATGTCGTGTGCATCATTGCAATTTGATATTTCTTTGGGCGTTTTCGTTTGTTATCTTATTAAGTTGTTGAGTTTGTCGTTGTTATTGTTATACCTTGTTATAGATTGTTATTGTTATCAACTGCTTGCGCAAAATGCCCAGTAGTCCAGATACTGCCGATGAAGTTGTAAACTCCTGTAGTCCACCTAGGAAACGCTCTAAAAAAAGACACCTGAGTGAAAGAGGTCATTTTGAATATATATAAGATCGAGCGCGAGGAGAACGAGGCATCAACCATCAAAGAAATTGTTGTGAAGTTTTCTCACAAAGTTGGGGTGTGTCGCGCATCAGTGTTTAATGTGTTAAGACAATACAAAAAAAATCACACCTTTTCTGAGCCAATGACCAGTAAACATCGCAAAAGTATTGTTAAATAGTTGGATGAAGCTGATAAGCATGCGATTAGGAGGAAAGTGCATGAATTCTTCTTTAGGAATGAAATACCGACTATAGATAAAGTACTGCAGGAGGTAAATGGAGATACAACGTTGCCAAATTTCAAACGATCAACTTTCCATGCGTTACTGAAGCATTTAAATTTCAAATGGAAAAAACCGGGTCGTAATAGTTTACTACTGGATAGAGAAGAAATTGTGCTATGGAGGAGGGATTATTTAACAAAAATTGGGAAATATAGAAATCAAAACAGGAAGATTTATTACCTTGATGAAACGTGGGTAAACGCAGGACACACTACAAGTAAAGTATGGGTTGATGATTCTGTAACTTCATCCAGGAGGGCCTTTCTAGATGGACTGTCCACCGGATTAAAAAATCCAGCAGGTAAATACGAGTAATAGACAACAATCGGATGTTTTTCAAACCTTGGGAACAAGGTTCTAAGCATCCATTCCAGGGGGCAGATAAAACATATTACAAGTAACAAAACTTTTATAACTTTCTATAAAATGCGTGGATGTTTTATTGTCATTTTCATTTGTTAGAACTTTTTTAAGCCATGTTTTTATGTGTTTTCGATATTTCAATAATTTTTTAATATAATCTTAAAATATGTCGAATATTATAAACTTAAAAAAAGTTACTAAGTTTTATATTTATAATTATTTTAATTCATACTTTAAGCTTTATAAAGTTATAATTTGTTAATATTAATATATGCGCGTATTTCAGGTTCCTGATCATTCATTTTTTAAAGGTTTATAACTTTAAATTAAATTGTGAAGCGCTGAGTAATCATACGACGTTCAATATTCTTTCTTTCAATATGACTAAATAATCCCAATTATAGCAATCTGATACTCATGTCTCAATGTTTTTTCGCTGAATGTGATGAAAACATTTGATAAAGGTTCGCTTATTGAAATAAATCTACACCAGTTAGTACTTCGATTTCCAGGTAAAGGGAAAAGGCTCATTATCTGCCATATTGGCAGTGAGGATGGATTTGTTGTTGACGGTCTGTGGTGCTTTGAGTCTAAGAAAACTGGAGATTACCACGAGGAAATGAATGGCGAATCGTTTGAACAGTGGTTTTCAAAAATTTTACCGAACTTAGAGGAAAACGCAGTAATTGTGTTGGATAATGCGCCTTATCATTCTCGAAGAATGGAGAAGGTCCCAACAACGGCTTCAAGGAAAGTTGATGTTCAAAATTGGCTCCGCTCGAAAAATATCAACTTTGAAGAAGCAATGCTGAAAGTACAATTATTAAGAATTGTCAAGGATCACAAGGCGGAATATCAAAAATACGCCATTGACGAAATGGCAGCAAGACAAAATAAAACTGTACTCCGTTTACCTCCATACCATTGCGAGCTCAATCCCATTGAGCTCATATGGGCAGAGGTTAAAAATTATATAGCTAAGCACAATACAACTTTTAAATTTTGTGACCTCAAAGGACTTTTCAAAGAAGCACTAGAATTAATAACAGCGCAAAAATGGGAAAACTGTATTAAGCACGTGAAAGACAAAGTTGAAAAGAGAATCTGGGAACTGGACAATATTTTAGAGGAACAAGTCGAGCCATTCATTATTGACGTTGGTGCTTCAGGCAGTAGCGATGATGAAAGCTCATCAAGCTCATCTTTCCAATAAAAGATGTCGTTCATCAAATTCGGTAAGTTATAAGTAATTATAAAGCTACTGTATTTTTTAATATTAATTATTTACATTTTTGAACCCATTTTGGCAAAACCTATTCAAGAATCTACTTTCTGACAATGTTCAACCATGCACACTTTTTTACGTTTTGAACCTTTTAATTTGGTTACATATTTACCTAGAAATCAAAAAATATACTAATCAATATTCTAAAAGCAATTTTAAGAGATATACGATTATTTTTAATTTAGGCTAATTTAAACGCCATTTTGAGATTATATTCGACTGTATTTCACCAAACATCAGGCGGCATCCGAAGCTGGAAATCGAAGCGAAAATTTTGAAACCCTTATGTATATTTACATCATTATATATTTCTTACCCCACCCCCACATGATCCTATATCCATCACCAATCGTATACACATCGAATTGTGCTAATTTACTACAAAGTTACGCAAAGCAGCATCTACTATCTAAAATATGTACTGCGTGACTCTTCATACGTCCCTGCCGAATGTTACAGCGTTCGATGATCACGTGGTCTTGTTTATGTCCGGTCTATCTCTTATCTGAATATACTGTAGTTAACTCATAGATGGTCTTCTGGTTATAGTTAACTTCCGTTTTACTATAAACATGATATTGAAAAACGCTTCTTCATAAATAACTGTAAGTTAAGACCAAGGTCGTAGTTAAGCTGCGATTGAAAAACCGGGCCTTAAAGTTGCAGTCACCGACTCGGAATTTCGGTGGTATATTTTAATTATTTGTAAGCGTTGTTCGTTTGTGTACATCACCATGATGAGAATCTTTTCTTTAGTGAATGTTTTGACATTGACAGTTCGGTAATTGATTTAAAGGTGCGTTCACAGTGAA